AGAGAGAGAGAGAGAGAGAGAGAGAGAGAGAGAGAGAGAGAGAGAGAAAGAAAGAAAGAAAGAAAGAAAGAAAGAAAGAAAGAAAGAATAAGAATTCTCTGAAGATCTGACTCCAACACCGTGGCTTTATCAATTACAGATAGTCCTTAACTTACAACCTTTCGCTTCGTGATCGTTCAAAGTTACGACAGCACTGAACAAGCGACTCCGCGTTGATTTGCCCGCTTGAAAATCACTGCACAGCATCCTCAGGGTCAGGTGATCAAAATCCCAAGACACTTGGCCAATGATTCGTATTTATGACGGTTGCATTGTCCCTGTCAGGATTCCGGCAGTTCCCCCAATTAAATCATGAGTCTTGAGTCAAACTTACGAAAGTTCAAAAGGATTTATTGGGAGTTAAACTGTCCAGCACTGCCTGGGTGTAGCTGACTTTGAGACACCTCATTCATTGTCACCCTTGACCCTGGTCTTCCCCCACCCCCTGGATGTATATTCTCCAATGGGACACCTCCATAGCCAAGAGTCATCAATCATGCTCTCCAGTTAGATATTTGCGCTGCAGAAACTTCGGTCACCTAGTTACTATCTTTGAAAAACTATTTACGGAATGCACTTTTGGTTTCCAAGCTGCCGCACTGCTCCCCCCTCCCTTTCTGTTGGCAGCTCTAAAAAGACCATAGAAATATTTTATGAGTTGACAGTCCCTGAGTCACATGACCCCCTTTTGTGACCTTCGTGACAAGCCACGTCAAGGGGGAGGCCGGATTCACTTAACAACCATGTTAACTAACTTTATAACCATAGCGATTCACTTATCAACTTTGGCAAGGCAGATTGTAAAATCGGACGAAACTCACTGAACGACCGTCTTGCTTAGCAACTGAAGCTTTGGGCTCCATTGTGGTCGTTTAAGTTGAGGACTAACTGTATGGCTGTATTTTAAAACATTCAAGCGAGGCAGTTTGGTGTAGTGATTAAGCCTCCAAGCTGGGAACCAGGAGACTATGAGTTTTTAGGCTGGTCACTGGCTGGGAAATTCTGGGAGTTGAAGTCCCAAACATCTTAAAAGTTGCCAAGTTTGAAAAACACTGGCCTAAGCGAAGGATTTCTCAAGCAATTGCAGACCTCAAGAAAGAGAAGACAATGTTGTCACTGGCACTTCAAATTCTCTTGGGTTGATTAGAGATTTACGGATTGTTAATCTGGAAGGGACCTTGTAGGTCATCTAGTCCAACCTTCTGCCCAAGCAGGAGACCCTACACCATTTCTGACAGATGGCAGTCCAGTCTCTTCTTGAAAGACTCCAGTGATGAAGCTCCCACAACTTCCAAAGGCAACTTCTGTTCCATTGGTTGATTGCTCTCACTGTCAGAAAATCTCTTCTTATTTCTAAGTTGAATCTCTCTCCTTGATCGGTTTCCATCTATTATTCCTTGTCTGGCCTTTGGGTGCTTTGGATAATAGCTTGACCCCTTCCTCCTCTCTGTGGCAGCCTCTCAAATATTGGAAGACCGCTATCATGTCTCCCCTGGTCCTTCTCTTCCCTAGTCTAGCCAGGCCCAGTTCCTGCAACCGTTCTTCATATGTTTTAGTCTCCAGTCCCCTAATCATCCTGGTTGCTCTTCTCTGCACTCTTTCCAGAGTCTCAACATCTTTTTTTTTTATAGTGTGGTGACCAAAACTGGATCCAGTACTCTAGGTGTGGTCTTACTAAGGCTTTATTAAGTGGCATTAGCACCTCACTCAATCTCAATTGTATTCCTCTGCAAATGCAATTTAGGATTGCATTGGCTTTTCTGGCCGCTGGTGGACACACACTTAATAGTTGAGAACCACAAAGCAATCCAGGGAAGTTGCAAACAAAAAATAGTAGGAAATGAGAGCATCAAATTCAACGGAGAACAGAGGAGGTGGCTGAATTAGGCAAGAAAAATCAAACGTGCAGTCATTGCACTGATTATAACCAAATCCCCAGACTGCTAATTGCACTGGTGAAAAAGAACTGAGAATAATTAATTGTCTGCGAACGGAATCTGAATTAATAGGGCGATGATGTGGCTTCCAGGTTTTTTTTTTCCTGCCTCAATTTTGAGTCTTGTCTGCGTTGATTTTGCCAGTAGATGTCAGGGTACCCTCAAATATTTAATCAACCGGGAAGAGGAAGCAGAAGTTGGAAGTCTATAGAGACAGGAGAACATTTCTACTTGTGTTGTCAAGTATAGGTGGTCCTCAATTTACAATAATTGTTTAGCAACTGTTGCTAGTTACTAGTACCGCTTTATAAAGCCTTAGTGAGACCTTTCCTGGAATACTGCATCCAGTTTTAGTCACCACGCTATAGAAAAGATGTTGAGGCTCCACCGTTTCCCCGAAAATACGACCTACCCTGAAAGTAAGTCCTAGCTTGGTTTTTACACGTGCGCCCAATATAAGCCCTAACCCCCAAATAAGCCCTGATTAAGTTCCCGCCACTCCAGAGTGGACGGGTAAAAATTAACCGTGTGTGTGTGTGTAGCTGCCCTACTACTTACCTTTGGACAGTTTTAACCAGGCCTCGCACACCCTGACACCTGCCTTGTCGGCCCATTTCTTCTGCAGCCGGCAAGGCTTTCCTGAAGGCCTCTGTAGCTGGTAACAAAGCTCTGGATCGATCCAGAGCTCTGTTATTGGCTGCAGAGGCCTTCAGGAAAGCCTTGCCGGCCACAGAAGTTCCTGAAGGCCTCTGACAGCGAAAAGGAGGCTGGGGGCAATACGCACAAGTGAGGTTGGTCAGTGGAGGACATTCCCTGAAAATAAGACCTGGTGCCTTTTTTGGGTGGCCAAAAAAATAAATAAAGACAGGGTCTTATTTTCGGGGAAACACAGTAGAAAGAGTGCAGAGAAGAACAACAAAGATGATCAAGGGACTGGAGGAAAAAAACATATGAAGAACAGTTGCAGGAATTGGTCATGTCAATTTAATCAAGAGAAGGACTAGGGGAGACACGATAGCAGTCTTCCAATGTTTGAGGGGCTGCCACAAAGAAGAGGGAGTCAAGCTATTCTCCAAAGCAAGGGTCGCCAACCTTTTGGTCCTCAGGGACCACCAAACTCATAATTTTAAATCCCAGGGACCACTAACCAGTTCTGTGGGTGTGGTCTAATTTATGGGTGTGGCTTGGTGGTCATGTGACTGGCTGGGCATGGCTTGTATGTAAATATTATAAATATTTATATAAATATTGATTTTTTTTTTAATATAAAAAAGCAACTTTTACTCAAAATCAGGCAAAGCAGGCAGGCAGATTGAGTTGCTCACAGAATCACAGATTCATTCAGAGATCTATCTATCTGCCATTGGCTAGCTCAGTCTGTCACATAAAATTTGCTTGCAAGCAAATTCATAAAATTTGCTAGCAAGCAAACTCACAAAATTAACTCACAACATGCCATGTATGTAAATATTGAATTTTTTATTAAAAAAAAGAGCAACTTTTACCCCAAATTAGGCAAAGCAGGCAGGCAGATTGAGTTGCTCACAGAATCATTCAGTGATCTATCTATCTGCCATCGGCTAGCTCAGTCTGTCATATAAAATATGCTTGCTGTGAGTCTGCACTGAATAATAGAAACTTCAATCCTACGGGAGGTTCGGCTGTGCTTAAAAGCAGAGCCAAAGATCTAAAGACTAGCTAGAAAGCAAGAAATCCAACCATTTCCTGTTTCCTTGCTAATCTAAATCTCCCGGCACAGCAGAACAGCTGATGGTCGGAAAAAGGAAAAATAGCAATTTTGTCAGGCAAGTTTGCCGGGTAAGGAGTGAGTGGGTGGGGAGGGTTCCCGCGGGCCATATGGGCTGCGCAGCCTTGTGTTTCTGCACAGCCTGGATTAATTGCTTTGGGGGGGAGTCCTCTGGGGTGACATTTCTCTGCGGCCCACTTTGGACCGCTACTCTAAAGCACCTGAAGGCAGGACAAGAAATAATGGATGGAAACTAATCAAGGAGAGAAGCAACTTAGGACTAAGGAGAAACTTCCTGACAATTAGAACAATTAATCTGTGGAACTGTTTGCCTCCAGAGTGCTCTATCACTGGAGGCTTTTAAGAAGAGTCTGGATAGTTTGCAATGGTATAGGGTTTCCAGCTTGAGCAGAAGGTTGGACTAGAAGACCTCCAAGGTCCCTTCCAACTCTTATTATGCTGAAAAAATTGACTTGTAACCGTTTTCCACTTATGACCATTGCAGCATCTCCAGAGTCACATGATCAAAATTCAAAGGCCATAAAATGGGGCAAAATTTACTTAAAAACTGTCTTGCTTAGGGACAATTTTGGTGCTCAATTGTAGTCGTAAGTGGAGGCTTTTAAGAAGAAACTGGACTGGACTATTTACCCTGACTACTATAGATTTAAAGAGACACTGCAATGCCTGAGCTGGATGATTCCTGTAAGCAGGTTAAACACCAATAAAGGAGAACATCTGTAGCTCAGGGTTGACATGAGGGGTCCTTGGTGCTCTCTGAGCTTGGTTGTTTTCTTGCAGATGTTTCATGACCCAACTAGGTAACATCATCAGTGCTAGTAAGGAGTGTTGTTTGCTGTCAGTTTATATTTTGGTGGCTTGCCTGTCGGTGTGGGTGGGAGCGATTTTAGAATTTCTGCTATTTGCGGATGGCTCTTTGGCAGTTTCTAGATTGGGGTATGGTTTACTTGACTGTTGTTCTGACAACCTTGATGATGCTACCTAGTTGGGTAATGAAACGTCTGCAAGAAAACAAGGAAGCTCAGAGAGCACCAAGGACCCCTTAGGTTGGATGTGTTTCATTTATACCAGAGTAAGACCTTCTCTGGCCCTGTCTATTTTGGCCACTTCAGAGCTCCTAGCATTCCTGGTTGCTGAGGACTCCATCCTAGCATTCCTGTGCTACGGAAAAATCCTCGCTATTTATGAATATCGAGACATAAAAAGCCAGGGACGGGTGACGGGATTAAATGCACATTGAGCTAGGAAATGAGGGCATTTCTTAGAAAAGCCCAGGAACAAATTAAATCAATAGGGAATAACTCTAAATTGAAAGCACTTCGACTCAGGCACACGCAGAGAACAGGATGCATTTTGCAAAGTGCAAATAGGAGACACACACCATCTGTTCGAATGACAATGTTCAGAGTCACTTTGTGAAATGCTCCAGGCAGCCTCCATGAATAAACACCGCTTAAGCCCAGGGTACAGAGGGGGTATTCAGCAGGTTCAGACCAGTTCTGGAGAACTGGTAGCGGAAATTTTGAGTAGTTCGGAGAACTGGCAAATACCACCCCTGACTGGCTCCACCTGCATCTATTCTCTGCCTCCCGAGTCCCAGCTGATCGGCTGGGTCTCCTTTGGTTGCCCTGCACAGGAGAACGGAGCTGGAAAGCAGGTCAGTGGGGTGGAGAGGGAATGGGGATTTTGCAGTATCCTTCTCCTGCCACACCATGCCCATCCATCCACGCCCACAGAACCGGTAATAAAAATGTCTGAATCCCACCACCGCCAGGGCAGGTGGCACAGGAGGATAAAGGGAGTGGTTATAATAAAAGAACAGAGCTGAGTTTCTATTTATGGCCAGCCCTGGGCAGAGGCTAAACTAAGAGCCATTCCTCGCAGCTCGTGTTTTGCGCCGTGCAAAATGACCGTTGTGGTCTCACCAGTGGTGGATTTCAAAAAAAAATTTCCTACCGGTTCTGAGAGCATGCTTAGCGTGCGCGAGGAGGGCTCAAAGACTGCCCTCTGTGTTGACGCTGGTGAGTTGAGCTGTTGTTTTTTTTACCTCAGCTGAGGTGCGGCAATCCACTCTGCCGTGCGACTCAGCTGAGCTAAAAAAAAAAAGGAATATAGGAGAGGTAAGGGCGGGGGGGGGGGGGGGGGGCAGCCAGAGGTGGTATTTGCTGGTTCTCCGAACTACTCAGAATTTCTACAATGTCAGAACTGGTCCGAACCAGCTGAATACCACACTTCTGGGTCTCACCCAGCAATTGTGGTCTTCTGATTTGCTAATGAAAGCAGTGAACGTTTTGGATCGTTTTGTTTTTTTAACAGATAATCAGAGTTGGAAGGGACCTTGTTGGTCATCTAGTCCAATCCCCCCGCCCAAGCAGGAGACCCTACACCAGTGGTGGCTAACCTTTTGGGGCTCCTGTACCAAAAATTGCGTGCACGCTCGCGTGCCAGCACCCAGAAGGCAATGTGCGTGGCACCCCCATGCCCGCAATTTTCCCCCCGCCATCCCCTTACCTGCACTGAGACTCCCAACTTATTTTCGGCCCATTTGAGGCCTTTTTCGGCCTCCCAGAGGCTCGAGAGAAGCCTCTGCAGCCTTTGTAGGCCGAAAATTGGGCCCGTTTCGTCATTTCCGGTATTTCCAGAAATACAGGAAGTGATGAAACGGGCCTGGTTTTCGGCCCACAAAGGTCGCAGAGGCTTCCCTCGAGCCTCTGGGAGGCCAAAAAGGGCCTCAAACTGGCCAAAAATCAGCTGGGAGGCATGCAAATACGCAGTGAGGTAAGTTTGGCTGGGGTTCGTGTGCCGGCACAAATGGTTCTGCGTGCCACCTGTGGCACACGTGCCATAGATTCGCCATCATGTCCTTAACACTATTTCTAACAAATCATCTGGGGTGGGGGGCACTGTCTGTACTTTTGGGCACTTCCTGACCCCTTCTCCTTGCTTAGGAGCTGGGGAGAGTTCAGAAAAATATACAGGTCAGACCTCGAATTATGACCGTAGTGGAGCCTAGAATTTCTATTGTAAGTTATGGTCATCCGTTAAGGCACCCATGTGATTGGACCTGATTTTTATGACTTTTTTTTTGCAGTGGTTGTTAAGTGGATGCCATGATCATTAAGTGAGTCAAATTATTCCTATGTGGGTTTCCCCACCCCCCAGAAACGGGCAAAACACTTTGTAAATTGCAGTCACACGACTGTGAAACACTGCAACTGGCCCTAAAAATGAGGTAGTTGACAAGCGTCCAAAATATGTTCATATCACTATATGTGTGATGATCCAAGGCATGGCACAAAGGCAACACAGTCGCGTAAGTAAGGAAAGTCCCTTTAATACCTCCAACTTGGCCCCCAATGTCCAGGTTACCTTCGGCTGGAGAAAAAACTCTCCCAAAAACAGTCTTTAAGTGGAGGAAATTCAGTCCGAAAACAAAGTACATATAAACTGTAAATAAAAATCTACACAAGCCGCCCTGCAGCAATTAATTGGACAGGGCAGGAGAAGGAATTGCAGACTTCAAAGGCCAACAAAACACACACAGTTGGGAAGACGCCAGGAACCCAGATAAACCTCGACAAAGATAACTCATGATTTGGTTCCAACAAGTTGCTGTGCGCAATTTTCTTTTTTTAAACACTGTGTTCCCAGCTGCAGCTAATGAAGGGAATCAGGGCCCTTTCCTCCCCTGTAAGCCATGCAACTCATGTTGCTCCCTTCTCTGTTCCTCTCTGCGTGCCCTAGGATGAAGAGGGGGTGGGCCTGGGTCTTCCTCCAAATTCCCTCTGCCTTGTTCTACCTCTCTCCTGCTCTGCCCAGCCAGACTGTGCCCTTCCCCAGTTTCCTTCACAGCCAACAAAGCCACATGCCCACTCGCTGTCAGCTGCTCGGCCTCCCCCTCGGAATCAGATTCCGACAGGGGCATGACATTATGTGTGTGTGTGTGTGTGTGTGTGTGTGTGTAGCCTTTGGAACTCCAGAACCTGGTCATAAGTAGTTTTTTTTTTTTTTTTTGTGGAGGGGGAGTGTTCTGTAATAACCAAGCAGTTGCTAAGCGACCGGTCATTAAGTGAGGATTACAGCATCCTCTTTTTTTTTTCTTCTCAACCTCAACTGTGCACCTGCAAAAGATCCAGCTGCGTTTAACAGGATCAGAGACGACGGGTTATTTCTGGATCATTAGTACAGGTAGCCCTTGACATATGACAGTCGTGGAACTTGAATTTCAGGGTCATCAGTTATGACGGTCATAAAACAGGTCACCCACTTGACCGACTGGATTTTAACCACTTCTTTTTGCAACGATTATTACACAAACACTGCAGCTGTTAAAGCAACCTCATGGCTTGCCATGAGCCAGTTAGGCAGAAAATCGGAACTAAATGCTGGTTTTCGGCAAAATGATTAGAAAATGTTGCAACAGGACTGCAAGGACATAAACATGGTTTGGATGACTGGTGCCTGACATGTGTGTCATGCAATTTCGTGTGTGTGTATGTGAGAGAGGAGTGGGGAGGGAAGGGAAGAAGGAGAGAACGGAAGAAAGGAAGCAAGGAGAGGAGAGAGGGAGGGAGGGCGAGAAAGATGAACGGAAGGGGAGAAGGACGGAAAAAGAGAAGGGAGGAAGGGAAGAAGAAAGGAAGGAAGCAAGGAGAGAAGAGAGGGAGGGAAGGGGAGAAGGAAGAAGAGGAGGGGGGAATGGAAGAAGAAAGGAAGGAAGGGGAGAAAGATGGAAGAAGAAAAGGGAGGGAGGGCGAGAAGGAAGGAAGAAGAGAAGGGAGGGAGGGCAAGGAGAGAAGGGAAAGAGGGAAGAAGGAAGGATAAAGATAGGATGGATAGATTATCCATCCAGACAATCTCTATAGATAGAAATGGATAACGATTTGGGGAATGGAGAGAGATAGAGACAGACAAAGACAGACAGACAGACAGACAGATTCCGGCCATCAGAATCGCATCCTAAGTACCCCCAGAGAGGCCCAGCATCACTTTAAACATTCACTAAGGGCCCATCGTAAGTCGAGGACTACTTGCAAGGCACCCAGAGCCCAGGTGGAGTTATGAAGCCGTGCAGGTGTGCAGGTGTGTATAGAGGAGCCGCCCAGGTGCCATGAACCCCTCCCGCCAACCCCCTCCTGCAGGAGGCACCTACCAGGAGCAGCTGCAACAGCAGCACCAGCACAAGCAGCAGGGGTTGCCCCGTCGGTGGTTGCTGGCCCTCCGCAGTGCAGCCGGAGAAGTCTCATGCTGGGACATTGGTCTGTCCGGGTACGGCGGCTCTGGGTACTGCAAAGGGGAGGAGCCAAACAGAGAAGGTGAGGAACGAGAGAAGGCAGAGAGCATCCAATCCCTTCATCACTTCATTCATTCATTCATTCATGCAACCCATCAATAGGTGTCGAGCTGTGGTGCGCAGTGGTTAGAATGCAGTACTGCAAGCAGACTCTGCCCACCGTCAGTAAGCGAGATGAAACTTACTTAACAACTGCCTTGCTTAGCAAATGCAAATATTGGTTTCAAATTGTAGTCGTTAAGTCGAGGACTAAATATAAGGACTAATATAACTAGAATCCTTTCTTGGGTCAATGTGAGTTGATGTCCCATAACATGGATCTCCAACCCCCCCTCAGGTCCATGAACCGGTCCCAGGCCGTGGCCTGTTGGAAATGGGTCATGTAACGGGCAAGTGAAGCTTCATTTAACACAAATAAACCAGGAGACTGTGAGTTCTAGTCCTGCCTTAGACATGAAAGCCAATTGGGTGACTTTGGGCCAATCACCAGGAGACTGCGAGTTCTAATCCCGCCTTAGGCATGAAAGCCAATTGGATGACTTTGGGCCAATCACCAGGAGACTATGAGTTCTAATCCCGCCTTAGGCATGAAAGCCAATTGGATGACTTTGGGCCAATCACCAGGAGACTGTGAGTTCTAATCCCGCCTTAGGCATGAAAGCCAATTGGGTGACTTTGGCCCAATCACCAGGAGACTGTGAGTTCTACTGTCATTTAAGGCATGAAAGCCAATTGGGTGACTTTGGGCCAATCACCAGGAGGTGGTGAGTTCTAGTCCTGCTTAGCCATGAAAGCTGGCTCATGGGCCCAGAAAAGTTGGGGACCAATGCCCTACAAAGGGCAGTTTGAAATTCTAACCTGGTCTTGTGAATGGCCGGAGTTAGGATCGACAACTTACCTGCTTCCCCACTTCGCAAACGGTCGGCATGGGCAGCCCTCTTCAGCCCTTCGGGCCCACTCTGGGTACTTATTCTGAGCCCAAGGGCCAGCCAGATGTCCCCGTGGCCCCTTCCTGGCCTAGGGGAACTGCAGTTTAGGAAACAGCCCCTGCCAAAAGCCAAAAAATTTTTTTGCGGTGGTTACATGGACTGTGCTGATCTCCCAAGCCTCCACATCTAAAAGAAGTCTAGCATTAGAAAATTAAAATAACAGAGTTGGAAGGGACCTTGAAGGTCTTCTAGTCCAGCCCGCTGCTAAGGCAGGGAACCATGTACCATTTCAGACAAATGTTTATCCATCCTCTTCTTTAAAACTTCCAGTATTGGAGCATTCACAACTTCTGGAGGCAAGTTGTTGCACTGATTAATTGTTCTCACTGTCAGGGAATTTCTCCTTAGTTCTAGGTTGTTCTTCTCCTTGATTAGTTTCCACTCATTGCTTCTGGTCCTGCCCTCAGGTGCTTTGGAGAATAGCTTGACTCCCTCCTTTGTGGCCAGCCCTCAAATACTGCAAGACTGCTATCGTATCACTCCTAGTCTTCTTTTCATTAAACTAGAAGATATACCTAATTCCAGCAACCATTCTTTATATTCCTACATGCCATCCCTCTGCTAAGCAACTAATTCCCACAACACTGTCAAACTATTTACTAAGACTGTATTTCTATTCTTCTTCTCATTCCTTCCTATTACCTCTCTCCTTTTGTACTTATGACTATAACCTTGTTGCTTGTATCTTTACAATTTATATTGTTTTATTTAGTTTCCTAGTATGATTTGATTGCATCTTTAGTAGCCTATGACTATCACTAAATATGGTATCTTATGATTTATGATGAATGCATTTTTATGATGGTTATGGTCATGATTTTTCACTTACATCTTTTATGGACACCGAAGACCAAGTCCTTGTGTGTCCAATCATACTTGGCCAATAAATAATTCTATTTTATATGTTTTATCCTCCAGTCCCCTAATCATCTTTGTTGCTCTTTTCTGCATTGTGTGATGACCCAGGGCGGGGTACAAAATAAACACAGTCACAAAAAACAGGTAAAGCCCCTTTTATTCTTTCACTTTGCTTCCAAGCTCCAAATATCCTTAACTGGAGATAAAAAAAACTCCCCCACTACAAGAAGGAGGAAATGTCGTTTAAATTATAGAGTAAAAAAACAACACAAACCAGGCAAGATAAGGGCTTGAAGATGTCCACAGATATCAGAACACACACTGGGAAGGTCGCCAAACTCAGAGAGGAACCATAAACTAGAGATATTTCCACGCTTTGTTTCCAGCACTAGTCCGTATGCATGCCCATCCTCTTATCCAGTTGTCACAGCTACAGCCCATGAAGAGGATCAAGGCCCT